CAAAGGAATAGCTGAGATTCTATTTTTTAATCTATGAATAGTAAAAGTAAATGACAGGCATTTCAGATTATCAAGATTACTAGTTGATTCTTCCATTTATGTGGTATTTTGAAATAAAATGTTTTAAAGAAGCCATATTTAATTGTACATCTGCCTGGAAAATGCTGGTGCATATAGAGTATCTCATCTTCTGTTTCATACCAGAGAAAAAAAATTATTGTATACATTACTATTTTTTTTTCCAGTTAATTAATGCCCTGAGTTGTTTTAAAGACAATAGTTCTCAATTATCTAATCAGTCCTGAAAAGCAATAAGGAAACTCTGGAAATATAACCATAGAGAATCTTTTATAACTGGTAGTTAATGTCAAGAACAACAGGTCCTAAGAACAGTTCAAAAGCATCCTGATTTCAGTCATTCTGATGGAATATGCATTAATTATTGTAGAAGGCCTAAGGTCTTAGAAAAAGAAAGAAAAAATGTCTTATCATTGGAAGTTTTTGTATACCCAGGACTTTATACTTAAAAGAGTAACTACTAGAATTGTATTTGATCTAAATATATAACAAAAATATTACTATTTTGGTTACAATTATCTACTTATAAATACTGCAATTGATTGCTGATATACAGACATGACAGTAGATTTGGCATCACCATGAATGTCAGTTTATAACCATTTCATATGGTTTAGGGTCTTTTGTGATTCATCTTTAAGAAATTATTTCCAGGCCTTCCTGGTGCCGCAGGGGTAAAGTCTCAGTGCTTTAAAGCTATTGCCAGCCACTGTGGCATGAGTTCAATCCCTGGACAGGGAAGTGACCCACATGGCAGCAGACCCTTCTGTCTCATCTGCTGCTTCCCTCAACAGTGTATTTTAGTATATCTGCCTGTTCTGCTCCCCATTCTGTGCCTGGTGAATCCTGTCACCCCCAAACCTCTGGCCTACACCCCAATTCTTGTATGCCTAAATAAATAAATCTATTTTTAAAAAAATGATTTCCAAAGCATGGTGGATGTTACTAGTGAATCTAATTAATTTTTAATAAATTCATTTGATTTCTTGGAGTATTTCTGATTTTTTCCCTTGGTGTTAATGAGAAAACATGTGTATCTGAAAAGAAATGTAGTTAGCAGAGTTATTAATAGTATAAATGAGAATATTTAAAAATATTTCCTTTGTATACTACTATGTCAACCTTTATAAGCAAGACTCTATCCAGGCATTATTTAATTCTGTGAAATCTGGCATTATCTAGAGTATTGACATTGTTTAGCCAGATAAAGCAAATATTGTGTTTGACTTTTGTGGACATGAATCACATATGCATACTACATCTAATCAGCTTGTTCATCTGGCTAGTTAAAAAATAACATAGTTGAGGCCCTCCCTGGTGGCGCAGCGGGTTAAAGCACTGCACTAAGAAGCTTAAGCCACTTCCGCATGAGTTCAATCCCCGACTGCCCCAGAGGTGACCACATGGCATGGCAGACCTCTCCTGACCCCGCCCGCTGTGCCCCTCAGCAGTGTACTTCGTCGATCTGCCTGTTCTGCTCCCTGCTCTGTCTCTGGTGTATCCTCTCACCCTCCGCATCTCTGGCCTGTACCCCAGTTCTGTATGAATAAATAAAATCTTTAAAAAAAAAGTTGAAATAATTACTAATATATATATATATATATGTATGTGTGTATATATATATATATATATATATATGCCTAAGAACAATTATTTTGATGTTGCATACTTATAGGTTATATAATTAACAGACCCAGTAAAAATAGTGTTTATTCCACTATAGAGATATGATCTTAGGTGAGATCACTCCTGGTAATGATTGTAGGCTAGACATTGTGAATTTTACTTTGTTGGTGCTGGATATTTTTGTATCTTGAATTTCTAGAAATATTGAGTTTCGTTCCAACTAAACTAGTTGGAAATGGTATGATAGGTGATCTTTTAAAGATTACTTAGAAAGGACCAGAGCATATTTTTGTATCAGGGCTGATTCTTTCATAATTTTAACACAGGCCCTGGGTGTTCTCCCAATCCCAAGAATCATGAGTGTTTCCAGTTTGGCTGGTGGAGACAGGTTGTGTTCCTTGTCTTTTATGGGAGCTGAGCACTGTTTTCCAGAATGCTTTGGGTGGTTTTTTTCCTGGGTGTGGATGCTTTCAACACATTCTTTGGTTGACCAGTACTCTGAAAACTTGGGAGGAACCCACTGCAGATCTCTAGAGTTTTCTCCCTGTGAAGCTGTCTCCTGTCTGGTCCTCTGCCTTGGAGCTCTAACTGCCTTGGTCTCCCCAGACCGTCAGCCCCACCTCCTGCACTCACTGGTTCCCCTTCTCTGTGCTGCACCTTCTCCACTGTCACCAGGCAGTTAAGTGAGTCTCCTCATTTGTTTCCTATCTCAGGAATCGTTGTTAGTGCCAATGGCCAGTGTCTCGGGAACTATTATTTCATGTTTTTATTCAGTTTTTAGTTGTTTTGGGAAGGAAGATAAATCCAGTACCTCTTACTTCATTTGGGCCAGAAACAAGACTAATGTCATATTACATCTTAAATGAATATTAATATATTAGTTTAATTTTCCAAAACAGGTTAAGAGTTTCTGGTGATAACTATCGCCAAATGAGATTATTTACCAGGGAGCAAGCCCATGACTTAATTTAGGCAGAACCAGATGATTTCTTAATCTATTCCAATTATAAAACCTATTTAAAACCAGTTATAAAATTTTTAAGTTTATCATATTTTAAGCAGTGCCCTTAAAAGAAGACTAAAATTCAGACAGCACACACTTGCTGTACATTAAAATAGTAATCAAATTTTTTTTTGACCTGTTATCTTCATCCTGTTCTCCCTCCCAACAAGTGTTAAAAACAAGAAACTAGTAGTAAGGTATTGTAAGTGGTCTGTATATTCTTTTGGAAACTAAATTGAAGCTATATATTAAAAGGCATAAAAATTGCTATATCCTTTGAATCATTACTCCATTTGTAGGATTAGAGCCAATGTATTTACAGGATACCTGAATAGGTATCGTGAAAATGTTAATTATGATGCTAGTTATAATAAAGCAATTAGACATAACCTTAATATCAAAATAAGAGACCAATAAGAATTGATACACATCACATATAAAGAATTTGTACAATTCAAGACCAAATAAAAGACCCAAAAAGGGGCAACAGACTTGAATAGATATTTTATTAAAATATTTATATATACAGCGCCTCCCTGGTGGCCTACGGGTTAAGCCCCAGTGCTATTACTATGACCACCCACCCCAAGGCCTGTATTCTGTCCCCAGCCAGGGAGCAAACTCACAGAGCACAGCAGACCTCTCCTGTCTAGCCCCTTGTTCCCCTCAGCAGTGTGTTTCAGTACATCTGCCTGTTCTGCTCCCCCCTCTGTCTCTGGTGTATCCATTCATCACCCACACTGCTGGCCTACACTCCAGTTCTTATATGCATAAATAAATCTCTACCTATCTATCCACAAATGACCACTAAACACATAGAAAAGAGTCTCAACATCACTAGTCATTAGAGAATGCAAAGCAAAACCACAATGAGATACTACTTCACGCTCATTAGGATTGCTGTTAGAAAGACCAACAACAAAGTGGAAAAAAAACAAGTGCCAATGAGGATGCAGAGATTAGAACCTGCCTGAATTTCTGGTGGGACCATAAAATGATGCAGCTACTATGGAAAATAGGCTAACCATAGTATCGTTATATGACCTGGTAGTTCCACTAACAGTGGGCTCAGACCAAGAAGAACTGACAGAGGGACTCCCATATAGCACACCAGCCAGCACACAGAGCAGCAGCACTCCCAGCAGTGAGGGCAGAGAAACACCCAAAGGCCCAGCAACAGATCAACAGAATGTATTATCTACATAATATAGGATATTGGCCTTAAAAACTAGAGAAGTTGACACATGCTACAATATGGATGGACCTTAAAGGCATGACGAATGAAATAAACCACACACAAGAACAAACTTATCTGGTTGTACTTATGTGAGCTACCAGAGCAGACAGATTCACAGAGACTGGAAGCAAAGTAGTGGTTCCCAGGAGCTGGGGCAACTATTGTTGGGTAAATACAGAGCTTCACTTGGGGATGGTAAATTCTGGAGCTGATTGTGGTGATGATTGCACAACACTGTGAGTTTCTTTCTTTCAATAATATATACTTTTTTTTTTTTTTTACATCATTTTGTGCATTTTCCCATCTCAGCTGTTATCCCTTTGGGCTTCCCATCACCAAATCATCCTGTGTCATCACCATAGTCCAGTGCATTTCCCTGCCCCCATTGTTTTTTTTATCTCATTCCCCACTCTACCCCATAAAATGTCTCTGGTATACAGCTGTTCATTATTATTATTATTTTCTTGCCTGGTCCGTTATATTTCTGTTATGAGAGAAACCATCCAGTACTTTTCTTTCTGGTGTATTCACTAAGCATGATCTTTTCTAGCTCCATCCATGTTGCTGCAAAAGGCATGTGTTTATTTATTTATTTATTTTTTTGGTTGCATTGTGTATATGTACCACATCTTTTTAATCCAGTCATCCACTTTTGGGCATCTGGGCGGTTTCCATGTCTTTCCAATTGTGAATAAAGCAGCAATAAACATGGGGGTGCAGGTATCTTTCTGAATCAGTGTTTTTGTGTCTTTTGGATACCTAGGAGTGGGATTGCTGGATCAACACTATGAGTTTCATAATAATGCTGAGCCGTACTTAAAATTTCTGGTTAAAATGATAAATTTCTTATGTATATTTTTGCACAAATAAAATATATCCCTTGGTTAAGCATGTACATAGACATATATACACATAGAACCTGACAAAGGGATATATTTGATTTTATACACATATATATACTGAGTATATTCACGTTAAAGAAATCACTTAACTATTCACGTAAATGAGTAAGTCGAGAGAATTTGAAGACCAGATATCCCTCCCATTCCTCTCCAGGAGTGACCCACGCAGCTATCTGGGCAGCATGCATTTCTTACCTCAGTGCGGCGGTCCCCCCGGAGCTGAGGACGTCGGCCCAGGGCATCCTGCAGGGCCTTCACCTGGGCTTGGGCAGGGGCTGCGGAGCCATGATTGGAGGCGTGTTAGTCAACTATTTCGGTAAGAATGGGCGTTTCTTTCCTTCTTTGATGCGCATTTAGGATTTCTCAGCAACCACTCAATAAATACTCAGGTTACTACTGAGGGCTGCCAGAAACTAAACTCCAGTACTCGCGTTGTCTTTCTGGCGTTTCTGGCGCTTTCCACGTGTAGCGCTGCCCTGTAACCACGCAGGCACCTGGAAGGAGCCCAACAAATGAAAAATCACAGGTGCTTCTGGTTTGAAATTAGTGTAAACCTGCCCATGGTAATGCTAGAGGGAAGAAATTCCATTATTTTAGCAGGACTTTATCAGAAGATTTTGAGCCAGAAAAATCTTTCTCTATGCAGCTTTGGTACCGTCACTACATCTATGATCACAGCCTGTCTGCCCTGTCAGGCATCCCTTGTTGGAAATACAGGGCTGGGATGGAAGTGGGATTATGGGCCCCAGAAATCTTGATTACTCAGCCGCATCTATGCAAGGTGGGCAGGGGGTTGTCTTGAGTTTAGGGCACTGTTTGAGTTCTGTTGTTTCAAGTACTAATTAAGGGGGGCTATTTAATAGTTAGATCATCATCTTCATAAGGAGAGGCCAACTGAATTTTATGATGAAAGACACTCAAAGATGGCCCTTTATAAGTACAGTTTTAAAATCTAATCAATGATAGGTCCAGTACCGCCAGCTGGGTCTCCTGATATCTAGCCAGCCCTGTTTTATTTTCCCTACATGAAGCTAAAGCCTGTTTGCTTTTCTCACCCTGAGCTCTGTCTGCTGCCTCTGCCCTGAACGTTAGCACATTAACAGTTTCTGAAGAGCGCTCTCTGGATCACCTTATAGAGTGCTCTATCTTTGCTCACAGGGGCTGCTGCAACCTTCCGAGGCATTGGCATGGCTTGCCTGGTCATCCTACTGCTCTTTTCCCTGATCCAGTGGTTGGCAGTGCCGGGTGAGGAAGAAGGTAAACGTATCCAGTCCTTTTTAATGATTCTAAAGGTAGAACCAAGGAGGGAGTTCCATACATACTGCTCAGAAACCAGAGGTAGTAACAGGTGTACAACACATCCGCTTGCCTAGGTCTTCTCAGTGTTGTTATCAGTGCACTTGTTGGAGAGAAGAATATTGATTGTTTTTAAGTAGCTTGAGGTTTTCTTGTTTTTGTTTTCTTTCATAGTATAGGGATGTGAGAAGTAATGGCTTCACATTTCTCTAGTTTTAAGTCCTTTAAAAGAACTTAAAATTTCAGTTAAATACCTATAAATCTATACATAATTTTAGGGAAAGGGAGTTGTAGTAATCTCTATTTTTTTTTAAACTTTCATTTGAAAAAAAGTCTGTACCTTAAATTTGAAGTTTTCTCTCAAGTAAGGCATGAACTTCATTAAAATTGTAAAAAAGAGGTTTTGTCAAATATAATGTGTAGATGAGGACAAGCTAAATCTTTTTTTTTTTTTTTTAAATGAAGACTGCCAATCAGTAGAACACAAATATTCTTGTTCACCTCCTGGGTCTAACAATAAGACTGGTTTATCTTCTTTGGTGTCTTGTCCTTTGAGGAACATTCGCTTCACATACTTGAAATGCTTCCATTAAGAAAAAGAGTTTACGGCAGAAACCCCAAAGGCAGACTTTAATGCCAGCAAGTTACACAAAAAGACCAATACTGATTTCCTTATACCTTTGTAATCCTAATTGAATCATGGTCCATGCCTTCAGTAAAAGGTCAGTAAGGGCAGTTATCAGATAACTTTTCCTGTTTGATGCTTATCTCTAAAAATCTCAATCCTGTGAGTGGGCCTAAGGCAACATTCAGTAATACCTGTGTTCCATAGATGTTAGTGGAAGTGAATTATACGTTTCATAAATATAAGTTAATGTATTAAGTCCTATAAGGAATTTCTGCAAGATTAAATGCATGCTCATTTGCTCAGTGGTAGCGCAAGCAAAGATGAAGCCCTTGGTACACAGCAGGTGTCAGCTGCCCGCCACATTAGAACAGGCTTATGGGACCATCCACTTGTTTTACTTACTTTTACATTTGGTTAAATGTATAGAAAACTCTGAAAATTGATTTAAACATGATTTTCTCTCCAGACAAGACAATGTTGGCAGAAAGGATTCCTGTTCCCTCAAGTCCTGTTCCCATAGCAACCATTGACTTGGTTCAGCAACAGACAGAAGATGTAATGTCACGAATCGAGCCCAGACTTCCACCTAAGAAAACCAAGCACCAGGAAGAACAGGAGGATGTAAACAAGCCGGCCTGGGGGGTCAGCTCCTCTCCCTGGGTGACCTTTGTCTATGCACTCTACCAAATTAAAGAGATGATACAGCTGACAAGAGAAAACCGAGCTTCTGAAATACAGCCTCTACAGGTGAAGTTCCTCTGCTGACCTACCAAGTGGGCTCAGTAGTTTTCATATTCTGTTAACGTATTCAGCTAGAATTTTGGAAAGTCTGGTGAAGGGGATAAACATGTAGACAAGTAATTTCAGTACTCTGTGATGAGTGCATTGAAGAGGTTTCACAGAGGGAAAATTTTGTCTTATGGGATTCAGGATGTCTTCACAGCAATAGTGATACTTCTTACAAGAAAGAAAAGGTACATTCTTCATTTTTTTTTTTTTTTTACAATTTCTGTGTTGACAGATAACACTTGTAGTAAGGACAAGTTTTGTCTTAGAGAAATATCTGTATTAATCTCTGCAATTCTCAGATTCCAGTGGGATTATAGATAAGAATTCAATAAACATTTGATGAATTACTACCCTGAACCTGGTATGGGTCTCAGAGGACACCTAATTCAGTGTAAATGTCATTTTACAGGTGGCCTCATCTGAATAATAAGGTGTGACTTTCTTGTCCTGAGAGGTGTGGTCTCTGAGTAAAGTCAAATCATGTTGATAAACTGTGTGGGTAGTTGTAACTCAAACTATATACTCTCTCTGGAAAATGACGAAGTGGCCTCTGTGGACAGCTTGGCCCTGTGTCTACTCCCTGTGTTTATATGAAACACTCTCTTTATGTGGTGAGTCATGTCAACTCTATCGAGTAGCTTCAGAGGACACATAAGAAGAAATAATACGGGGAAAGCCTTAAAACCTTCTAGGTTATTTCCTTTTATAAAATATGGACCACCTTAATTGAACTAATGTGAAGGTACATATTTCTCGAACTTAAGCCAAATCTGATTCTTCACTGATAGCCCTAATGAACACTGGTCGATGCATGATCCTATTTATAAGCTCACAGGAATACTTTGCTGAGTCAAGGAGGAGACTACGGGACGGGAGGAGCATCTGGGGGATGTGCAGTGGGAGCGGAAGCAGGAGAAAGAGTGGTCTTTTCTGCCGGAATAGTGGTGTTTTCAGTACTTTGTGTACACATCTTCATTTACACAGAAGCCTATTGGACTTAAGAAACGTTTTTTTCCTGGTATGGTCAGGTGAATGAAAACCAGTTGGCCTTCTTATGAAGAAGTTGTTATACTAAGACTTTTTTACATTATAGAGTCAGTAGCAGAAATAACAATATGGTGGTATTCTGCTCTTAGAAATGAAGAGGAAAATCCATTTGTAAAACATTTGCAACCAGCAGGAATGTGGCGTGGAATGTGGCGTGGAATGTGGCACTGTGGCATTTTTGCAGACTGGGCTGTGTGTGAACTCTAGAGGGAGTGTGTGCTCACAGCTGCTTATAGTGAGGCTTAAAAGGCCCATACTCCTGTTCCTCTAGGCAAAATTAAATAAATAAAAAAGCCTTTTTAAAAAAGTGCTCATATTCCCTTTTTTCTACATGGATATTAAATCTGATTTAACTTTTAAGTTCATACCTTAACATCCCAAATATATGTCAGGACAGAATTTCAGGACATCCTTTCCTGGCCTTTTCTGCAGCTGAGAGTGTCGTTCGTGCTTCCTGCTGGATGGGTGGGTGTGTGTGTGGGGGAGAGGCCTTCTGACTCTTGAATTCAGTGGTCTTCAGAGTGGCCTGCGTGTCACTGCCAGGCTGTTTACCTGGCAACTTGGTGGCTGGTGAAGTTCCAGGGAATATTTGTGTCATGAGTTATTTTCCGAGTTGCAACCGGCATTTTGCTAATAATCTTGCTTTATCTATAAAATACCTCTGCTTATAGTGTTTGTGTTTTTCATGCGGCTTTGGCAGTTGCACATAGGAAAGGAGATGAAAGGTAAGATGTCCCATCTTATCCGCCTATTACTTATTCACTTCAGGATGCCATCCCCCTTATTCCTGTATCCTGCGTGAAAACAGTACGGAAGTGGTAGGTTGATTTGCTGTCACTGAGGGTCATCTCCCGTTTTTTCCTTTCAGGGGACCAGTGAGAATAGGGAAAACTCCCCAGCCAGTGGAGTGCGGCCTGTCCCTGGTGAGACTCATTCTGCCCCATCTATAAGTCAGCCACCCCCTCCAGCGGCACCTCCGACGCAGAGCAGCCCAGCTCACCCGGGTGTGGCGCAGCACGCGGAGGAGAGCGGGGGCCAGCAGTCTCCTGCCGAAGGAGGACACTGAGTGGCCTGCTCCCCTCACAACTTCATGGAATGGCTTCTCTGCCGGGACAGGAGAGGCGTGAGCCCCGGACACGCCTCACGTAAGGAGCATGGCGCCACCTTCGCTTCTAAACACCTGAATTCATCATTACCATGGAAACACACACATGCCACCCAGGAGTTACAGTACACATTGGCAGAAGCAAGGGAACTTCGTGATCCCACAGGAACCCCAGACGGGAATGAAGTGCAGAGAGGACTTGAGTTCTCCATCGGTGAGGCTGACGATGGACTTCTCCGTCAGTGCAGAAAGGGCGTTGAAACCAGCAGATATACTAAGTGGAGGGAAAGGAAGTGTTGCAAGTATTGCAAGGTGACAGCTGATCTGATTTCCCTCTTCTCATTATTTATTCTAATTATTTGGCTGTTAATGTAAGAAGAAAGAGAATCTATAGTTTTTTTTTTTCTGAAGAGATTAAAGTTACAAGACATTAAAAAGTAACCAGATAGAAGTTTGTAGCATATACGCTTTTGTTTTGTTTTTTTTTTTTTAGTTTCGTCAGAAACTTGGCATATCTTTAGCAAATATATTTTTATATGTGTATGGTGTATAATGAAAACAGTCAATTCTTTCAGCAGCAAAAGCTGTTACAGACTACCACAAGCTAAGCTGAGCTTTAAAATGCCTTTTGTTTTAAATGGGCTTTAAGACCAGTGGAGGGAATATTTCAGACCAACCCACCAACTCAGTACCTGGTGGCTTGATATAGCTAAGGCTTTACTAAAGATATGGATACTGTAAATAGTCCTTGTCACTATTCATAATTTTATAGTGATTTGGGCTGCAGCTAGTTGATGGAATAAAACAAAAACTATCACTGAATTCCTAAGGGTTTCTTTAATTAAGCAGTACTATTTACAAATAACAGTATAAGATATAAGTGCCTGGGGGAGGGATGTGATTTTTAGAAGTGACAGAATAGGTCAGTTTTGTTTTGTTTTTGGTGAGGGGAAAGGTGGTGATAGGAAACCAGGAATAGAAAGGAGGGGACTAAGAAGCAACTATACTTTCCAATGACTAAGGGAACAAATCTCATTAACTTCTTTCCCATGGAAACACGGTCAGACACTGGACAGTCCAGACATGGGTAAGCTACTGTAAAGATTACAACTACTGCTAGAACAATGGCTGGGTGAAACACGCATAAAGCTTGCTGCTAAAATGAAAGTTGAGGTTGACAGGAAGCCTTGAGGGAGGGATGTGGAAACGGTAACACTGCTTCAGCTGAATGGAGGTCAGTTGTAGTGGGTGTAATAGCTGTGGATGAGCACAGGAAAGAGGAAAGAACAGTTAGAAACAAGCAACTCACCTTGCCCCTGACCCTGGTTAGACAGGATCAAGTGTAAAGTGAGGACTTCTCCATGACACCAAACTTCTGAATGTCATGGGATAGAGCACCAAATTGCATCTGGGAGAAGATACTCTACACTTGAACATTGAGCTTCACCACAAAACACAGCTTAAAAGTCAAATTACAGGAAGAAATAGAATTAAGCAAATAGTTATTTTTGCACTTGAACTGAAACGTACTGTACTGTAAATTATCATGACTCATTTTAAGTGACCTTTAAAATCAGATGTATTTATTATGCTTATGTAATTATAGAAATAAAGAGATGGGTGACAGGCTGAACCTCACCTATGAATGTACAGTCTGTGGATTTGTGAAATTGACTGTAGGAAGTCAAAAACTTATACTGTGTCTTGTGTTTACAGTTCTGATTTATTTCTTGAAAAGCCTGCTGTTTTGGAAATGCACAAATGACATGTTGAGATAAAAATAAATACCATTTTTAAATACTTCTTAAATGATAAAGATGTGACCAAATAAAAGTACTTCACTCTGTAAAGAATGAGACCAAGATTCAGCAGACCTTTGTTATGAAACATTTACTGTGTTCAATAATGCAGTCATTTCCAGCCTCTTAGAGCGACAACTTTGTGGGTTTGTGGCCTTTGTGGCTTTTTCTTCCTGTCCTCAAAGTGCTATATGCCATTAAAAAATATTAAAGTGAGTTCCAATTAAATTCTGATTTTTTTTATAACGCCACTTGAGATTCCCTGGCAATCCCGAGGGGTGTCACAAAGCCTGGCTGGTAATCACTGCCTTAATGACTTATTTCATACTCTTTTCCCTGTGATTGTAGAAAATGTGAATTACCTGAGTGTTGAGCTTGTGTGGATCATGAGAGGCAGTTGCTAATTATAAACAATTACTCAAAGCCTTAAGTAGAACAGTAGATGATTATAATAAATATCTCTACTAGTCAGTAAACCTCATGAAAAGCCATGGAGGTCATAGGAAAAATATGCTGCCTTATTGGCTTATAATCCTGCACTGGGCCACACATCAGGTAGTGGCTAGATGCTTCCCTCTGATTTGCTTTTCCTCCAGCACAGAACGGTGGGGCTGCTGGGACTGTCACTTAAGCAGTAATCCTCACTCCACCTGGTGTAAGCAGTGAATCTGAGAAAACAAGAACCACATCCAGAGTCCTGGGCGCTTGCTGCATACTGACGAGATTATCATCTTGTCTTGTTCATATCACCAATATGGTACATACCACTGTCCCACTATAAACATGGAGATTCCAAAGAGACCAGCTTATGTTATGGGATCAAGAACATAAACCAGCATTCTGACACCTCTGGTGCCAAAATATGGCCCACCCAGCACCTTACCCCGCCCCAGGGGTCAGGGAGGCTTTCCTGCTTCTGACTTGGGATTGCTAGATAGTATAGCTAGATATTGCTAGCTATAGCTCAATAACATTGCTAGATATTGTGCTTGTATTGCTAGGTATTATAGCATAGGTCTTTCTGGCTATTTCCAGATACCTGAATATCAGGTACCTTCAAACTCTTGGCGCTTTGTTAGCTGTAAGAACTCTTACACTTTGGAGGTGATTTGTGATGGTTTCGCAACCTTGCAGAGAAAATCCAGAGGTTGGTAGGGATGCTGACCAGTGCCAGAGGCATCAGGAGGAGCAAGCTCAGCCAGAGCTCCAAGTCCCAGGTGATGGCATCGCTGAGCACTGTCTGGGGCATAGCCTTAGCCACAGGTAGCAGAACTTGCCACGTGGCTGGTGCATCTGAGGAGCTGGGTTTCTGACTTAAAAGGCCACATAAGACTTGTGGCCGCCATATTGGACAGTACAAGTATGAAAGGTTATTTTTGGGGAGACCTCTCTGTTTCCTATCTCCAGCATGAGAAGCTGAAACTTAAAATTATGTTTCATAAAGATGAGGGCATGCTGTGACTCCAAGGAAGTAGCAGGTGATTTTCCATTCAGAAGTTTGTCTTTTGGTGCATGAGGACACCCAATCACTCCTCAAGTCATTTAAGCAAAACACATTTCAGGAATCCAAACCACTGGGCAGAAGCAGGGAGGCTGGTGTTAGATGGGAAAGTTGAAGGGGTGAGGGAACACAGGAATGGTTTCTAAAATCAGAAATTCATTTACCTTATGCCAGGACAAACTGCAGCTTGAGATAGAGAGAGTAAGGAAACCTGCTGATGTCAAGAATGGGAAAGAAATGAGCCATTCCAGGTGGGGGTTAAATTCTCACTGCTCCCATCTGCCTTAGGGTGTTATTGCAGGGCCACCTGCCCTACTGTAGCTTCAGGGAGGTTCCAGATTTTAGAGATGGCAACCCAAGGGTCCCACAGTGCTCCGTTTAGGAGTTTGCTGTCTGGAGCCCCGGTGTCTGGATTTGAGTCTCAACTCTGCCAGTGAAAACCTGCACACAGCACACCTAACCCCTCTGGGTCTCAGGATCCTCCTCCGTAACATTAATGTGAGGTGAGCATACAGGCTACGCTGATGTTTGAATGAACTTTCTGATCTACACTGCACATTCCATAAATATTGCTGCTACTGCTGGGTGGCAAATGAGAATGGCAAGAGCAGTGTGGTCCCATTCCTTGCCAGAACCTGGCTTTCAGTACTTTGACACATTTAAATCTATCATCTTACTGCTTTCTCCAAAAGTACACAACATGCTAAATGTTTGCCTACACCTAGTAAACTGTTCAATAAAGCATCCAGTTCCTACTTGCATTGAGTAGCTGGAGATAAGAGTTGAGACGCAACTTTTCATTGAGGAGGCATCAGTAAATATAAATTAAAAAATGTTTTTTTTCCCCAAATAGTCATCTAGGATATTAGTTTTTTTGACTACTTACACGTCTACAGTATGTGCTACTCAAAGTGTGGTTGTGGGCTGGTTATCATGTACACACACTGCTGCCAGTGGATGACCAAGTAGAAATTAAGCATTTCAAAGTGTCTATGGCAGTTTGACAGTGCTATGACATCCAGGCACACGATCGTGGCTTATATTTATGTCTTTAAAAAAATTATTTATGTATACTGAATTGGGGTATAGGCCAAAGGTGCAGGGGCGGTGAGAGGATTCACCAGAGACAGAGTGGGGAGCAGAACAGGCAGATCAAAGACGTACACTGCTGAGGAGAGTAGCACGTGGGTCAGGAGAGGTCTGCTGCACCATGCGGGTCACCTCCCTGGCCGGGGATTGAACTTGCACTGAAGTGGCTCCGGTGAGCTTCACAGTACTGCGCTTTTAACCTTTGTGCCACCAGGGAGGGCCCAAGTCTTTTAAAAAATTATTTCATTTTTCTAGCTATTTTTGCTGTTATCTTCCAGAATTGCTGCTTGCAAGGGTGATGGAGTAAGGCCCATGACCCAGTACAGTTAGAGGCATCGCCATCTCCAGCACACACAGCTACAGGTACAGGGGGCTGACGTGTGCACAAGAGCAGCAGACAGTGCCAGCCCTTGAATGGATGAGCCACATGGCCCTTTTCTGCACTTTTTTTTTTTTTTTTAAGACTGCAATAATGGAAGTAGAGGACATGAGCCCCAGCACTCCGTGGCTCAAATTTGGATTTGAGCGCTCGGTATATATGTCCTTCAGCAAACCTCTCTCATCTCTCCAATCTTTCCTCAAATGTAAAATGGAAATAGCAGTAGCACATATTACAGAGGCCATGAGATTCAAATGAAGAGGCACAGAAAGTGCCTCTTGTAGCATCTAGTACTCTTCCCCTTTCTAATGCTGAAAACTGCCTTTTTGGAAAGTGGACCAATTTTTGAATATATATTAGATTCTCCAAATGATTTAAACATTAAAGAACAGCTATCCCACTGAATGCACCCTCCACAAGTTAGCCTGGTAAATATATACTCTTTCCAAACTTCTAGTAACCTGTTAGGGGATCATAACAAAAAGATGCTGGGGCAACAGGTGGGGAAGGGGTGAGCTGTACACTGATGACAGAACTAGACTCTTGGTGATGAGAATATAGCACATCCGGATGCTGCTCTGTAAATCTGTACACCTATAATCTATATCATCATACAAACAATTGTTATTCAATTAAGAAAAAAAAAAAGACAACTACACTCTTAGGCCAGAGAAGGGTAGAAGGCATTAACATGAAGAATATGCCCACTAGAAGGGCATTTGATGTTGGTCAGTAACAAAAGATTAGAACAGCGGTCAGAGAGGAAGAAGTTGGTGGGGCCTGCCTAAAAGGAGGGTCATCTCTGCTTCCGGACAGGGTATTTCATCCCATCAGCAAGGCTGCTCACCCTGGAGGGTGTTTGCATTGGGCTTTCTGTCCTAATGACATTAAACATAACTTATAACAGATTTCCTTTGTATTCTCTTGAAACCTTACTACCATTTGAACCCTCATAAATCTGTTTTCTGAGAATTTGTTGATTGTTATCAAGTATTTTTATCTTTATGTCAATTATATTTTTGGCTGTGAAACACAACTACTATATGAATTGCTTAATGTGAGACAGCTTTTCTAATGGTTCAATGACAAAAATCAAGCCCTAAATCAACCAGGTCAAGAATCGCACCCACATGGTAAACTTATCAATGTCATACCAACCTGTCGGGTCTCTTCAGATGGCAGCATGCTTTTGGGGTCACCTAAAATACCTCCTGTAGGCTTTTTCAATGGTCCATTTCATTATGATATCTATACAGAAGATTCTTTTTTTATTTGAACAAAATAAAAGCACCTGACTTAAAATATTGTATTTCCTCAACTCTGGGGAACAACCCTATACAGAATAATGTAAGATCATGTTTCTTTTCTCAGCATCAATGCAGGGGGCTCAATCAATCCACATGTTGATTAGCCCATCTACTTCAAACCTCTAAAATCTAAAGTTGCCTCTTATATTTCAAGATGACAAAAAGCCAAAACTTCAAATACTGTCCAAATGTCAGACCGACACACCTCTGTAATTCAACCATAGATATTATTGGCAAACTACACAACTAATTCAAAAAGCATGTTTTGTAACATGTAAAATGTGCTTTAAAACCTTTTAGAAATAACATTTAAATGGTATGATTGTCTAAGCATAGCCACCTACTCATCTCACCCACACATTTGGGTGTCAAACAGTCCAACTTGCTAACAACAGTAAGCTTTTGTAATACACCTTGTGCCAACAGTAGCGACATAGGGCACTGTCCTGATCCAAGGCTGCGCCCAGAGTCCACTTTCAACCACCTGTGAAGAGCAAAGCCTTTTTCTGAGTGATCACACAAACATGTAAAGGTTTTTTAATAAAGAAAGGGAGAAGGGAGGGACATGGAGAGAGTGAGTAAGAGTGAGTGAGAGTGTGTGTGTGTGTGTGTGTGTGTGTGTGTGTGACAGAGAGAGAGAGAAAAAGACGGAGAGAAAGAGAGGAGGAGGAGGATGGTAAGAGAAAGGTTGTAGAGGGGAAAAATGATCTATATGTTTGAGGAGGATCAATGCTATATACTAAACCCCAATTCAAATGAACACAACATAGATACATAAAAGTAATGCTTTTATTTGCTTGGCTTTTTAGTACTTAACGTAACAGAAATGGACACATACACAATTTCCTCTAAAAGTAAATACAAGAAAGAACATCCCAGATTGTTCTCTTTTCTTTCTTGAGCTGTTTTTATTATGATGGTTACAGCCAGTCTGCCAGCCGGCTAGGAGTCTCTTTCTCTCGAAGGCCAGGGCTGTCTTGGATGGGACGGCTCCTGGGAACTCCAGCAGACTCTTCACATGTTACTCACACATACATTTTGTGACCCACAAGTGGCTCCGTGTGGGGTGAGTGTGGGGAGCACAAGCAATGATATAGGTAATATTCATACAAAATACCACCACATATTTAAAAATCAGATTTTACCATAACGAAAATGTTGTCCTTTAACTTAGAAGAGAGTCATTATCATCATCTGACTGGAGGACACTTTGTTTTCTGATTCAAAGTGTGTAATGGCACAAACTGAATTTAGTACATTTTATAAAAGTAGCAAATTTCCTGACATTTAAAAGGTGTCAGGTGAAAACATACCTATAAAACACTGATACAATGCTTCGAAGAGAAAATATTTGAAAATGAGTAAGAAGTTCTAAATGTTCTAGAATTTCAATAATGTAGAAAAGCTACTGAATTTGGCTCAGGAAAACAATGCATTGATTCACCATATGTCTGTCCTCCAGAACCCTTTAAAAGATTATTTTTTTTTTATGATCCCACAGCAGCAAAAAGTTTGATGGAAAGAATTAATTTAGTAGCATCTAAACCCTTCAGTTATTTTCAACAGCCAAATATTTTTTCAGACCCATGTCATAGCCTCTTTTCTCTTGGTCAAAGCTTACAGTTAGTATCTCATTTCACGCTGCAGTTGAAAATATGAATCAAGAACAAAAGACCTGTGCTCTGTCTGCCTTGGCAGATCACAAATCTGTTTTGGAGGAGATTGTTACCAACAGATATAACTCAACAATTTTTAAAAATGGACCAGTGAGTAAAAAACCTTTTTGACAAAAGGTTAAATGTTTTCAATTTCAACATCCAACAAAAAAACACAATCCCAATTTTAATCCTCATGTCTGTAAAAGTCCTATCAAAATGTTAAAATAAAAATCTTAGAATGTTTCTCTATTTTAGTTACAAAATAGCTGGTTGGTCATTATTCAAAAATAAAGCCAACTATATTACAAGACCTGAAAAGTAGGGAGACAGCCCCTTGGCTCATCTCTGGGATCTCTTCTACCTGAGTAGTGGGAAACTCTAGGGCTTGAGTCCTAGTCCCAGTGTTGCCTCTAAATAGCTGTGTTGTCTCAGACAAGTTATTTTCCTCCCTCTCAATTCCTCCATTATTAGCATTTTCCAAATATAAGTTCCAAACAATACTAATTTCATAACAAAAAGATTCTGTGGTCAAATTAAACTGAAAACTGTTTCCCACACCATCTCCTCTCTAGGAGATTCAGAATGTGCATACATATTGTCAAAGGCCCTGAGAAGTCCGGTAGTTGATCTGCCTGTATCAGTGTTAGCTGACTTCAGAATCCTGTTACATAGCACCCTATAGACTTTACTTTGGAGAAACTTGCCCAGACCATTCTCAGGTCTCTTCTAGCACACTGATAATATGTTAAAAGAGCAAAGCAGAGGCTTTTGACACAGGTTCCAGGGATTAAGAGTATATTTAGGAGGCTGTATTCACGCTAACTGGCTCCTTGCAAAGCAGTATAATTCCCTTGTTCCTAATGAAAGTCTTCATCCAAGGAAAGTGGTCCCGAGTCTCACAGCATCTGATGGCCATGTACGGTATACTAAATAGCAGAACTAGTGAAGAACAGTAAGTTATCAATATAGTTTAGTTTTCCATTCCTGTATGACTTGATATTCTCCATAGCAAAGGTTTTTACCATCATTCCCTAAAATAGTTCTGTTCAATTTCCAGTGGCCTGTCAGGAAGTCTGTAGGCTAAAGAGCTGCTCTTCTAAGAAGGCACCCCCAAGGCCGTATTGTTCTTCATGCAGACTAATTTCTTCAGGTGACAAGTGGCTTCCTCCAAGAACAAACTCTGCAAACCTAATAAGGTTTTTTGTTTTAAACAAACTTAATGTTATCACAGAAAGGTTTATTTGAAAGGTAACATGTTCCTTTGCTCCTTATTCTCTTTAATTAAACTTGACTTTGTATCAATAAGAGGCTGGCATTTACAGAGAGGGTGTTAAAAACAGGAGTGACTTGGGCCCCTCTGTGGTGGCTCAGCGGGTTAAAGCACAGCACTAAGAGCTAAAGCCACCTCAGCATAGTTTGATCCCTGCCTGCCCTGTGGTGAGCTACATGGTGTGGCAGACCTCTCCTGACCCGACCCGCCCTCTCCTGACCCACCCACTACTCCCCTCAGCAGTGTCCTTCCTCGATCAGCCTGTTCTCCCCACTCTGTCTCTGGTGAATCCTCTCACTGCCCCTGCACCTCTAGCCTGTACCCCAGTTCTGTATGCATAAATAAATCTTAAAAAACAAAAACAAAGACAGTGACTTATGTGATCCTTTTCAGAGAAAGTAAGGGAAAAGTTAAAGGCAGGCAGACACAGGGCCCCGGGATCGTCAATATTACCCCCCCCCCCCCACTGTCTTCTAACCTTTTGTTTTCTCAAGTTCAAATTGGCCTAGATTTATATTTATTCTGTTTCAGTATGTCAGTGCTTTCTGCCTTTGTTCTTTAATTTGAGGGCATTATTATGTGCATACGGCTATGAAGGAGGGAAAGCAATAAGGGGAAAAAATTGAGATGGAGATGTCTTTCTTGGTGAAATTTAAAAATTACTTTCCTCTCTATAAGTAAGGCGAGAAGCAGGTGACCTGCAATTCCACTTTCCTCGCTCATTGTAACAGCTGTCCCTATAAAACACATCGGTGTTTTTGTATTGATTGTGTATCAGCAATGATTCTGACATTAGCCGCTCCAAGTACAAGTCTGAGCATGAAGTAAAAGGACCTCTGGGCCCCGCCCTGGTGGTGCAAGGTGTTAAGACAGCACTGGAAGCTCTCCAAAGCCACTGCAGTATAAGTTCTATGGCCAGCCAGGAAGGTGACCCACATGGCATGGCAGGCCTCTCCTGACCTGCCCACTGCTCCCCTCAGCAGTGTACTTCAGTAATCTGCCTTTCTGCTCCCCACCCTACCCAGGTGAATCCTCTCACCTCCTACACTTCTAGCCCAGACCCAGACTGTGTTGTGGGTGTCCCTAGACCAAACTATCATATTACTTTTGCATGAACTCTAACCCAGGTGTGGTCCCAAGCAGCCAAGCAGCACTTACTTTTTAGGGGCCTGGAGTCTGGAGATGGCGAGCCAGGTCGGGAATTCGGGGCTTCGGCAGGCTCGGCGCAGCTCCTCCAGGGCGCTGGTGGTTTCAGCGTCGGCCTGTTCCCTGTACTCATCTTCAGTGAGGTACTTCACCGCCAGCTTTTCTGACGTGAACCATTTCTTCATTTCCCTAAAACATGTGGCATTTGATTGCTAGTTACATTTCTTAGATGGCAACAGTAATACTTAAGGTCCTCTCAGTTGTACCTACTGTATGAAGCAGGCTTTTTACGCCAGTAGCCTCTGCAGGTACGCCTGATGGTGGAATACGTTGTGGGCATGCGCAAGTGGGCACACCTGCATCTAGAGGCGGGGCTAAACGGACCGCATCACTCTGGTTGAGGATGGTTACAGAGAGGAATTGCTGCATGACTACAGAGAGGTGAGCCCAGAGAGAATATGCAGAGATTCGTGGGAGGTTGGGAGGGCAGGCTAGGCTGCTTGCCTCCCTGCCTGGTGTGCCTGTGCACATGGATCCCTGAGAGAGTATCAAAGCCCTGAATAATCTACCAAGGGCTTCTGAAATCTCGCTTTCTGCTCAAACCCACAGTGAATCTGCCCTGTATTACTGTAATTTAGGAATATAGAACATACAGTTTGGGTTTAATAGTATATCTTCCTCACCCTGGACAAATTCAAATCATGTCTTCAGATATCTGAGGTGCAGTTTCTGAGAGAGATGCTAATTGTTATTTTCTTCCTTTGTGATTTCTAATCACACAACCAGCAATTAAAAACCTGGCGTTTGGGCCCTCCCTGGTGGCACAGCGATTTAAAGCACAGCACTAGGAGGCTAAAGCCACTTCAGCACGTGGAGCGGCAGACCCGCCTGCTGCTCCCCCTCAGCAAGTGTTCTTTATCAGTAGACTTGTTCTGCTCCCCACTCTGTCTCTGGTGAATCCTCTCAGCACCCCTGCACCTCTGGCCTGTACGCATAAATAAAGCAATCTTAAAAAACAAACAAAAAAGCCTTGCTCCTTCATGCTCAGCCTACTGATTTTCTTGGGCATTAACAGAAACAAGCCTCTGAAATGTCCTTTTATGGAAACCCATTCAAATCACTTGCCATTTGCCCTCTAGACAGAAAAGCAGTGTTTGTGGTATATCGGCTCCATCTAGTGGTGGAGATGCTGACTAAATACTAGCGAGGAAGTAAATGCTGTACAAGGGCCTTTTATGTACAGTAATTTATAATAATTTTTCCTTTGCTACATACCAACGGACTCATGATTGGAATTTTTTCCAATAAGAAATGTCTTTCAGGGAAAAAATATCATAAAGGTGATAATGATAAAGTATTAAAAATATACTATATTCACTGATAAATATTTTTAAAAGTTTCCAGACATTTTACATTTAATTTAATTTCATTTATGGGTTTCCATAAAAGCACATTTCAGGCCCTCCGTGGTGGTGCGGCGGGTTAAAGCACAGCACTGAAAATTTAAAGCCGCTTCCGCATGAGTTCTATCCCCGCCTGCCCCGGAGGTGACCACCGGCAGACCTCTCCCGACCGGCCCGCTGCTCCCCTCAGCAGTGTACTTCGTTGATCTGCCTGATCTGCTCCCCACTGTCTCTGGTGAAGCCTCTCACCGCCCCTGAGCCTCTGGCCTATACCCCAACTCGGTATGCACAAATAAATAAATCTTAAAAAAAAAAAAAGGACATTTCAGAAGTTTGTTACCGTTAGTGCCCAAGAAAATAAGTAGGCTGAGCGTGAAGAAGACAGATGTTTCCAATATGAACGACCACAAAAATTACCAGAGGTTTTTTAAATATATCTTTCATTGAATTTGGGTCCTGAAAAGTCTTTTGTTTTCTAAAGATTGTTTGGATGTTGATGAGCCACATTAGAGAATCATCGACATTATTTCCTTCTCCTTTTATATTCTTAGTCTGGTCTCTGGGATTTGGAGACACCCTGGTCTCTGAGCAGAAGAGGTACAGCCCTGGCCTTGTGCTTTTATTCACTGTGTGAACTAGCTAACCCCTTAACAGTTCTGAGCCTCAGTTTGCTTACCTGGAAAAAAAGCAAAAGCAATAACCACAACCTCATGAGATCACTGCACAGATTCAATGGGATATCTTACATAGTGTGTTGCCCACAGTAAGTATTCATAAAGATAGTAAAAAAGGTGGCTACTGTATGTTATTAAAACGTATTCATGTAGCTTTTTGCAAACTAGAAAACAATACACAAATCATGGTATTACTTCTTTGATTTTAACATTCATCCTTTAAGTTTTTTTTTTATTTTTTAAAAGATTTGTTGATTTATGCATTCAAAACTGGGGTATAGGCCAGAGGTGCAGGGACAGTGAGAAGATTCACCAGAGACAGAGTGGGGAACAGAAGAGGCAGATTGACAAACTACACTGCTGAGGGGAGCAGAAGGAGAGACAGGAGAGGTCTGCTGTACCATGTGGTCAGCTCCCCCCTCAGGGGACTGAACTCACAGCTGAAGTAACTGTGGCTAGTTTTGTAATGCTCTGCTTTAACCTGTTGTACCATCAGCAAGGGCCCTAATTTTTTTATCCCTATTTTTTCACATAATTATTCACTAGCAAAAGTTGAGGAAATACATTATTATTATTAAATTTGTTACCAACAGCATATACAGTGTGGGTCCCTATGAGCTGGCCCCAGCTGGTCACTCATGGGCAACTGTGAAGTATTTGATACCTACAAATCCCAGCTAAGCATTCTTGGACTACCTTGGAGTATCACTCATATCATGAGGCAGGCAAAAGTTACCTCACCTTTCTGTACTTTCAAAAGGTTTAAGTTTTAAAACCTAAGAGGAAAATAAAAGTCCTTAATATAAATAATACCTTTCCATCATTAGTGATTGATTTGTTCCCTAACTCTTATCTATACACACAACAAATACCTAATAGAAGGAAGTGTAGACGAAACTAGAAATTCTACACAGTGTGGGCCCAAGTTAATTTGTTACTGATTTCAGTGAATTCTGGAAAGCTATCATTACCTGGCAATTGCAAGGCACCTCTGAATGATTGATGAAAAAGAGCCATGGAGATGGGATCAAATACTTAAGTTTTCTACCCTTCTCCCTTCAAAGAGGGTAATCTCCAAGTGAAATGTAGTTAATTATGATTAAATGTGACATGTGCAAAACTTTCCCCATATAATAAATGCAACTCAAGTTCAAAGGGACAACTTTACAAGGAAAGAAAAGACACGCACCACCTCAGATAGCTGAACACCTTCCATGGGTAGCGCAGACTCCTAGACAACAGCAAGAGGACTGCAGCTATGTACCCAAACTGGGGCACCGTGACACCAGAATAGACCAGAAGCAGGGACAGGAGCCGCAGAGTCCATGTCAAAAGGTTTATGTCCCTTGTGTCAACAAGAGGCCCATGTTTGTAACAAACAACGAAGCTGAGAAATCCAATTATCAAGACATAGCCTGTAGAGGCAAAAGAATGCAAAGTAATGTAAATCTGGACTTGAAAACTTATGTGAAAAACCTGGCAGAGCTCTGACTTGGAGCTGAGAATAGAGCAGAAAACCCTCAATTTTATTTTCTTTTTCCAATGACGGCTGAGAAATGCTGGTAAGACTAGTTCTTTCCTTTTATTTGAGATTACAGACTGACTTTTGTAATAATCATGAATGTACAATAACAAATTGCGGTGATATGTAAGCCTGTGTGTTTTTAAGTCCTATGCCCTAGCTAGACAAACACACCATGGTTGCTTTGACCAAATCTAAGCCTCAGCAACTCGTGCAGTCAGCTCCAAACCTTAGTTTTAGTTTTTATTTTGTGATCCCCAAAGGAAAATGTAATTTTACAAAGGAAGGACCAGGCTGTGGCCTTCCTGATGCAGCAGTCAGATCCAGCATCGCTAGTGGAGGGATGAGATTCCTCTAGTGCAGGGAAAGAAGCCGCATGTCTGTGGGGCAGCCAGTGCGCAGTGCAGTCACCTCTTCTTAAGCCCTAAAAGTGATTCATCTGTATCCAAGCAATTCTCAAGGGTCGATTTACAGTTTATAGAACATATAGGGAAGAAAGGCACAAGCTGAACTATACCACAAAGGAGTAATAGAGAAATCCATAATGGGAGCTGTTCTATAGGACAAATAGCTTGAAGCCTTCAGGACAGCACTGATAAAAAAAATAAAAAAGAGCATTATGGATTACAGGAGACTTCCAGGCTATACGAGATGCAAATTGTGCTCTGGAGTATATCCTCGCTTATAAAAACCAACCACCCAAGACATTTAGGAATTCTGAACATGGCTTGGGTAACTGATGATTTTATGGAATTATTAATTTTATTTTAATATTTAACCAAAGAGGAATGTGATTTGTTTTGTTATTTTAATGCTCAGTGACATATTTAAAGGATACACCATAAGAAACTATATTTTACTTTAAACGTGCTTTAGAATACAAAGAAAATGATCAAAAAATGAAATCTTCAAGTAAGAAAAAATTGTTTTTTTTTTCTGGGTGGGTGTACTAAGGTGAGAAATTTGGTGCTAAAGGGTTTAGAGAAAATCTATTCTAGTCTCCATTATTTTCCAATTAAAACGACTTTTTAAGTTATTTTGCAGAAGAAGAAAAATACCGGATGGTTTCGCTCATAGCAGGAGTATAACGGACCAGGCGAGAAAATAATAATAATAATGAACAGCCATATACAAGAGACATTTTGTGGGGGTGGAGTGGTGAATGGGATAAAAAACGGTGGGGGGAGGGAAGTGCACGGGACTATGGTGGTGGCACATGGGTGACCTGGTGATGGGAAACCCGCGGGGATTACAATTAAGATTGAAAAAAAAAATTGTACAAAATGATGTAAAAATAAACTATTACACTATAAAAAATGAACACTTGAAAAGTTGAATACTGATGACTTTTAAGTGTATTTTTCAACACTGTAGTAATAAAGAAATATTCATACAAAAAAAATTACAACTGACCCCAAAATCATTCAGTTTTGCTATTTTCTGCCTTGGGTACCATCAGCCTTGTGAATATTTGTAAGATATTTGTAAGATTTACCATCTGTTATTTCTTACTATGTCTTAGACTCCTGATGTAATAAAAATATAAATTACTTTAAAAAAAGTTATTTTGCATGAAACAAGAACAACGAGTAGATTCTTAATAGCCGCTGTTTCTGAAAAATCAAGTCTTCACTAGTCACTAATATTTAGCATTTCTCATCTCACATACTGACTAAACTCAGCAAAACAAGTCATATATTTTTTTTTATTACAAAGTTTATTTTTACATCATTTTGCACATTTTTTTTCCATCTCGATTGTAATCCCCGCGGGTTTCCCATCACCAGATCACCCCTGTGCCACCACCATAGTCCCGTGCATTTCCCTCCCTCCCCCCCCATTTTTGATCCCATTCCCCACTCCACCCCCACAGAATGTCTCTGGTATATGGTTGTTCATTATTTTAAAACAAGTCATATTTTAGAGAAATTTTTTCATTAGAAGTTCTATGTAGTTAGAATTTAACCACAATTCAAAGACATATGAAGTCAAAAGGGACACACACACTCTGCACATACTACAGAAAACTAAGAAAGATGTCACAGGGAGTAGACTAAAATGAGATCCAAAGAGCTGAAATCACCAACTATGGATCTGAAATATTATTCTTAACATTTCTCCTTAACTCAAAACGAAAATTTAGATGCTAGAGAGAAATGGACATCAAAAGAAAGCCTCCAGCTATACTTCAGCTTTACCAATAATAGCATTTTTTTTTAAATTTACCTACCTAATATATATATTCTGTTTTCATACGTCAGCCATTTCAGATCTTCCATCAACTGGCATATAACATAAACTGAAGCAAACCAACAACCAACCATTAGCGCCCCAAAGGTGCTATACTGTGTGTGGAAGAAAATAAGTGACACATTTTTTTGGTTCATTCATGCTCATAAAATATAGAAATAAACAAATAAACCCAGTGAGGTAGAAACTACTACATCAAACTGAACTGAAGTCAACGGCAGATACGCCAGCGATCCCCTCCAGGTGTGGACAAGGAGGCAGCAGCGGGGACCTGCTGGCATGCGGACTCTCGGCCCGCTGTGGACTCCTGAATCATAATCTGCATTTCAGCAGGATCCCCAGTGATTTGCATGTACAGTGAACTTGAAAGAGAACTGTTCTAAAGAATAAATTTATCTCAAAAGAAATGCTGGTGTTGCCAGCTTTAACCAGAGCAATTGCAACATTATCAGCTGACAATAATTATCCTCAATTAAGTGCAGAGCATTCTTTTATTGAAGGTGTTTCAGAGAACTAACAATAATGAAGAAATGCCTTGCTGCAGCAATGCTGTTATTCAAGGTCATATGGTTCAGCATTATGAGCCCCCAGTTTTGCCAAGATAAAAGATATTTTCACTCAGCACAGAACGAATCTTAGTCACTCCTAAGAAAAACGCATTACCTGGAAACCAAAAGGGTCAAAAAAGTTATTACTATAGCTTAATATTTAAGGCTTGATATAGTAACAAACAAAAATGGAACTCTAGAAAAGGATATAGTTTAAAGTCAGCTTCTACAATCTTGAAATATAGTTGGAATCTGCTACAACCAATATGAACTAATTTTATGTATTTTTTATGTCTGCAAGATCACAGGTTCCATGTTTCTATGCATCTGTACATACTGTGCTTACCTTAGGAATGTGCTTTTTCACCAACAGCAGGACAAAGATGGATGTCATTAGAATACCTAGTGCAGTCCCAGAAGAGTAATAGAAGATAGAGCTTCTGTCAAAACAAGCAGAAAAAAGTCATGTAAACGGGGACTCTCCCTGGTGGCGCAGTGGATTAAAGTGCACCACTGCAAGCTAGCTGCAGCCACTTCAATGCAAGTTGGAGCCCCTGACCCGGAGGTGATCCACCTGGTGCAGCAGATCTTTCCTGTCTTGCCCACTGCTCCCCTCAGCAGTGTGCTTCGTCAATCTGCCTGTTCTGCTCCCCACTCTGTCGCTGGTGAATCCTCTCATCGCCTCAGCACCTCTGGTCTGTAACCCAATTCTGTATGCATAAATAAAATAAATCTTTTTTTAAAAAAAAAAAAAGTCATGTAAATGCCAAGTTGTATTTTCTGTGTTAAAAACATGTTTAACCTAATGACAGAAGTCATAAAGAATACTAAGAAGCACACACTCAAAGGGCAGATTTGATTACATCCTGTACTGTGAAAAATGGAATTTGTACTTGAAATATATGGTATATTGCATACAAGACAGAATAATCTTGTATGTTTAGAATCTGATGCAGCAATACTTACGGGCACCTATCATGTAGCAGGCATTTGCCTGAGACCTTTACATGCACTCAGAACTGCCCTGGAAACACCTAGTCACATCTAGGGAAGGATGAAGACCTTCCTGAGTCAGCATCTGCTAAGTGAAGGACTCAGGCTATACATACAGCCCGATTACTCTGAGATTGTCTTTACTCCTACAGCTCTGGAGAAAACACTGGATTTTTAAAGACCACATGAATGGCATTAAACATGATTGACTACATGACAAGGGAAAGCTCAAAAATGAACAGTGTTAATGGCCCTCCCTGGTGGTGCAGCGGGTTAAAGCACTGCATCAAGAAGCTTAAGCCACTTCCGCATGAGTTCGATCCCGCCTGCCCCAGAGGTGACCACATGGCGGGCAGACCTCTCCTGACCCGCCCGCTGCTCCCCTCAGCAGTGTACTTCGTTGATCTGCATGTTCTGCTCCCCACTCTGTCTCTGGTGAATCCTCTCACCCTCCGCATCTCTGGCCTGTACCCCAGTTCTGTGTGAATAAATAAATAAATCTTTAAAAAAAAAAAAAAAAAAGCACAGCACTAAGAAGCTAAAGCCACTTCCACGCATAAGTTCGATCCCGCCTGCCTAAGAGGTGACCACATGGTGAGGCAGACCTCTCCTGACCTGCCCGCTGCTCCCCTCTGCAGTGTACTTCATTGTCTGCCTGTTCTGCTCCCCACTCAGTCTCTGGTGAAGCTTCTCACCACCCCTGAGCCTCTGGCCTGTACCCCAGTTCTGTATGCACAAATAAATAAATCTTAAAAAAAAAAAATGAACAGTGTTAAGAACAGCAAGCCAAGAAGTAGAATTATGTTGGAAAGAGAGTCCTTTTGCATGAGAAACAAAATATTAGGATGACATGTTTATCCAAAAGTCAGCTATTTGTTAAATTCAACCTTCTGTATTAGAACCACATATCTAGAAGGCAGCTTGAATGTAATAGTGAAGAGCAAGGCATTTGGCATCAGAAAACCTGAGTATAAATCTCAGCCCTGGCAAGAACTGGTATGTGATGATGAATGTTGAGTTTTTTATCCATAAAATGAGAAAAAATAATATAGAGCTCATAAGGCTGTTAAGAGGGTCAAAAAATAAAGCAATATAAACTAAGTCATAATATGAAATAACGGATATGAGCATACTCTCTAACATACAACAAAGCTAGACAAAGACTGTCACTGGTTTTATAGGCCTTTTGAACACTGTCTTCAAACCTATAGTTAGAGAAACCTGAAACAAGAACTACAAAGTATTGCAGAAATATTTACCACAGGGTCAGAAATATCCTCTATTCTTTTTGATTCAGAGTTCATAAAGTAAAAACGAACACTTGGGCCCTCCCTGGTGGCACAACCAGTTAAAGCACAGCACTATGAAGCTAGCTGCAGCCACTTCGTGAGTTTGATCCCCACAAGGGAGGTGGCCCACATGGCACGGCAGACCTCTCCTGACCCTCCCGCTGCTCCCCTCAGCATTTTACTTCATCAGTCAGCCTATTCTGCACCCTACTCTGTCTCTGGTGAATCCTCTCACCGCACCTGCACCTCTGTCCTATACCCCAGTTCTGTATGCATAAATAACTAATGATTTAAAAATAAAATAAATAAATGGGGAAAAAATGAATACTTACTGACTTAAGGTCTTTGCGTAAAAGAAGAGGAGAACTCCTGCTGCAAACATGAGGAAGAGTTTGGAATCCACAACTGGCATGAAAGAGACCCACACAACATAGACTTGCTGTTAGTGTAATGTTAGTAAGAGAGAAGTCAACTAATTGAAAGGTCATGTCAGCAAACCTGAACCCAGAAAGTCAAGTATAATAAAAACAGACTTACGATTTCGATTCACACTTATAGTATAGGTGATAAACATCTCCTCAACAGGCTTCACAGAGAAGCATGCCGTCTCCTCATATGGATTGATGTTTATGATTATTTCATGAGATGCCTTTGGTGTCCAAAAGTTGTAAATTGCACATTTAATAAAAGACAAAATGGTTTCTGGATACTGGCAATTATGTCTGTCTGTGATATATACAATACTGAACAGGCCTGAACTGGTAATTTTCACCTACAAAGCAAAAACACATAAATCATATATAGATATGATTTGTAGACATATATACATATATACATATATATTTGATCTATTTATGTACATGTGTATGTGTAAAAACTTCACAGAAGTGTCTTAAAATCATGAGTAAAGAGGCGCAGAGAGAGCCCCAGACTGGCTGGGAAACACACTGATCACAGCGTGTAAAGAACATTCTGATCCAGGGCTGGACCCACACACGTGTGGTTAGTCCAGACACTCTGGGTACAACGATTCTGCAAGAGTCTTCTACCTCAGAGCTGTGGCTGATTCAACTCCCTCTCCCAGCAAGTTAGTGTGGCCAAGGGGCTGGCAGCAAACTACGTGGTTACAAAAAAAAGGAGAGTAGGTTTTATATCTCCACCACTTGCTACTGTGTGAGAAAGAGCACTCCTCCTGAATCAGCTAAGCATGTGTAATTCAGGCTTTTCTCATCAAGCCTCCTGAAGGACCAGAAGCCCACCGCAGACTTATTCAGCTTCTCACAACAAAGCACAGCTACAAAGCCACGCAGATGATGACACCCAGTGATGGCTGCATGACAAGCCTGCTGTGGCTTTTGTCGGTACTTCTCTTCTTGGCCAAGAGTAGGGCAAGCCTGAAAAGAGGAGTGAGAACACCAGCTTTGCATGACATTGCTAGCCACCTGTCAACCTGCCTCTCATTTTCTTGCACTTTAGCTACTGGCTAACTGTTGCTCTGTCTCCAATATGGCTTTCTTTCATATTTCTTAAGGACTCAATACACCTCATACTACCTCCAAAACCCTGGTCTCTTAAGTTCCTCAATCTACTGCCTTATTATGCTCCTGTTCTCCATCCTCCCTCAGCTAATCATGCCCATGGCCACACTCTGGAACTTGAGTCCAACCTGCAGCCCCTTTACACACTGTACGTCTTGCATTTCCACTGGCTGGTCCCCACCTATCTTGCCAGCATTCCCTTCTAGTATCTCCCACCCCCAAGTCTTTAACCACATTGTGGATCAAGCATCGTCCACTTTCCTCAACCCCTTGATGTCTTCAATCTCTTCTTATCCAATTAAATCCCATGATCAAGCATTATAAATCATCCCCTTCCTGTACCCTGCACTCTGTTTGTGGTATCGGACTCACCTGCAAAACCTAACTCTCCCCTTAGCCCATTCTTGAATTCCTACATCTTCAAATGTGCTGGAGAAACACAGTGTTTCAAACAGCGTTCTCACTTCAACCCTATACCTGTGAACCTGAAAGCTGCACACGATCACAGCGCCCAGTCCTCTTACTGCTGCTCTCACCAAGTGTGATTTCACAACTCCTTCTTCAGTATCCCAACACCTCTTCCTCCTCAACACTCCTGGCTGATAATCCTTCCTACTCCACCAAAATGGAAGAAATCGAAGGAGAATGCCAACCCGTTCCTCTCCCTGTGTCCACCCACCTCGCAACACCACAGGCACATGCTGTACTTCCTGTCTTTGTGGAGAATTTCTGCCATAGAGGAGATTTGCATACTCTGTTCTAAAGACAAATGCCCAACTTATGTACTGGATCTGATCATCTCTGCCTATGCAAGGATATGCCATGAACACACACACACACACACACACACACACACACACTCTCTCTCTCTCTCTCACCCATTTTCCTCTGTAGCTATCACCCCAATTCCTTGCTTCCTTGCTATATAACTCTTTTTGAAAGTTTTCAATACTTGTATCCAGTTCCCCTCCTCCCATTTTCTCTTTAACCTGCTTCCCTCAGGCACCAATCCCAAGAGGCTGCCCCTGACAAGGCCACAGTATCCCACATATTGCTAAGTTAAATGATCCATTCACTCTCAGACATCCTATTTGGCCCATCAGCATTTAGCAGTGCTGTTCATTTCCTTCTTCTGTTACACTTTCTTCCTGAGTATCTCCTTCAAATGTTGCTCTTTTTCTTTCTTCCCTACCAACCCCTTCCACTCTCTGGCCTATTAATAGAAGACTGACCCAGGCTCAGGTGTTGCTTATCTTTTCTTCATCTAAACCTACTTATTAGGCTCATAGTCTTAAGCTCCATCCACAAATATGCATCACTATTTACTACTGCAAAAAGAAACTCAGGCCAGATATGCCAGAAGACTACCCACTATGTATACCAGAAAGACTGGCAGCTGAGGTGTCAGCTAGGAAATGTGTAGAGGAATGGGAGTAGGGGGGTGATACTTTCCCAAGAATTCCTTTGTGTAGACTTTTGACTTTGAAGTCACATGAATATTGCATATGCTAAAACATAAGGGTAGTAAAATCAACCAGGATGTGAAAAAACCCTGAGATGGGAAAAATAAAGCTATCTTTCCATTGAAGGGGATGAATGGGAATGAATTAAGTCACTATCTACTGAACAAGGGATTCAGAAAATATACTCTCAAGCTGAAGAACAAACATACTATAAACAATATTCAACTGTTACTACATTTATTTTTCACAATGGTATGGCTTAGTCATTTTGGAATTACTTTCTGTGTATTCTAGGATTCGGCAAATAAATGAACATATTAAAGATAATGGGAAACAATATCCTTTTCTCACTGTCAGAAAAGAAGTTACAAATATGAAAAGGAGTGATTAGAAAGAACCCAGTGGTACTAGATATGTAAGAACCCACTGTTTCATTATAGATGTGCACGGAGGAACGAGTGTGAGTGTGTGTGTATACACATATGGCAATGATATTCTAGTAGTGATAAACATGCCTAAAACTGACTATTCCTTGGAAAACTATTTGATTCCAGATTTTGGTCTAAGATATTGCAAGATAAGCCTACACCGCCTTGTTTGCCAGAAAGTAAAGAGGGGCTCAGATAATGACAGACATAGGTAAAAAGTCCTAAGAGCTAGTTTGAAGGGGCACCTGGCCAAATCTAGGGCTTGGGTATCAAAAGAAACACTGAGATAAAGAATTACAGTCTATTGAATGAACGTCAATCCGTGAGATGATGTGGATATAAGCAGGAGGAGGAAAAACTCTTTGTTATAGATGAATGCCAATGAATGTAGAAAAGAATAATGGAATTAGAAAAGCACCAATCACCATTTTAGAAAGAACGTATTGATTCAGGAAAGCATCATCAAAGGATGATAAAACCAGGGTGAAAGTTCAATGAATAAGATATTCACATAGTTTCAAATTATCTCCTCAAAATAGTCATTTATTATAGAGGAGGACATAGTCATGTGGTAAACTGTAAATAACAGCCTTTACCTTAACCAGTGATCAAAGTGATGTATATTATCAATAACCTAACGGTTCAGCATCACGTGCATCGGATTCTAGCTATTAGCCCAGAACATGCTTTCTACGGATGCCCTCTCTGAACTCTTCCTCAAATGCCACTTTCCAAAAGATGAGAACTATTCCAGCCGCACTTTTTTTTTTTTTTTTTTTAAAGATTTATTTATTTGTGCATACAGAACTGGGGTACAGGCCAGAGGCTCAGGGGCGGTGAGAGGCTTCACCAGAGACAGAGTGGGGAACAGAACAGGCAGATCAACGAAGTACACTGCTGAGGGGAGCAGCGGGCGGGTCAGGAGAGGTCTGCCACGCCATGTGGTCTCCTCCGGGGCAGGCGGGAATCGAACTCATGCGGAAGCGTCTTTAGATTCTCAGTGCTGTGCTTTAACCCGCTGCGCCACCAGGGAGGGCCAGCCGCACTTTTTTTATACGTAATTTGTCTCCCAACTCCCTTATTTATGTTATTCTCTGCGTTTTTCATAATACCAGTTTTATCATTTTATTCTCTATTACATTTATGGTGTCTTACTACCCTACCCCCACTCCCAAAATTGTAAACATACAGGAACAGGGGTTTATTTTGTTCACTGACATATTCCAAGAGCCTAGAATAGTTTCTGGCCTTAGTGGCACGCAATAAATAGTTGTTAAATCTTGAATGAAGGAAAGTCCTAGGCTATTCAGAGTAACTATTATCTTGGCCATATCTAGCATTGGTGCTAACTCTAGAATTTCTATATTGAGGGGTTCAGGATGGCAATTATTTTGGAAAGTAGGAGGGTGGGTGTTGTCTTGTGTCTAAAGAGCATGTACACTGTACTTAAATAGTGTATTTATTTGAGTTTTTGGAATAGAGCCAATGAAGGGCATGGAGAGTTATAGTTCCCTCCTACACACCACACCCCTTGAGTCACTTGTGTGTGCCCTAAGTCGGCTTTCACAGTGAGATATATATATATATATATATATATACACACACACACACACACACACACACACATATATGTACATATATATATATATATAGCTCTATGTCATACAAAGCTACCTTCTACTTTTCAAGAAGTATATTTTAATGCCCTGTACCTAAGACATTTAAAAGTAGACGCTTACCTGCATAGTTGACCATATGTGTTTCCACTCCAACTGGGAATTTTGATAGTAGCAGTAACAGTCAGACTTAGAAGCTTCAATTAAACCCATTTCCTTCAAAGCTTTACACCTTATACCTGAGAGATAGAACAGGAAATGCATTTCTTCATATTAAGTTGCCCAAAATTTTATTTATTTATTTATTTTAATATTCATGGGGTTAACTATAGCTATTTTTATATTCTATGACCAATAAATTCTTCTACATGGTAATTATAGTCCTTTTTTCTTTCTAAGCTAATAGGAAACAGACAAACATTTCTGGTCCAGTGTGAATATTCTTATGCAGGGCACTGGAAGAGCACAGAGAGAAGGCACTTCTTCACTATGCAAGAGCAGAGGGCAGCCCCAGAAAAGATGAGACGTGCACAAAGTACTGCAGGATAAACTGAGGGAAACGAAGGGGTGGAGGTGAGAAGTGTGAACAAAACCACAGAGATGACAGACGTGGTTCAGCAATGCATTCGAGGAGGGGGTGTCGTGAACACAGGGCCATTTCAGCGCCTGCAGCTAGAGAGGTAAGCAGTGGTGACTGCTACCCTAAGCTAGAGATGTGAGCAGTGGTCACTGTTACTCTACCTCATGTTTCATGCTGAAAGCACAGCCCCGGAGGATGTTAGGTGGGTCTCAGAGTCTCAGGACGAAACTTAACACTCAAAAGGCTTGAGTAAAAGGAGTTTGTAAGATGTGGGCAGGGTCACCAGCATTCACAAGAAGACACTGTGCACTTCCTTGGGCACTAGCGGCAACAGGAAGTCTCTAACACCCCCAAGCCTGAGATGGCAAAAGGATAACCACTGCCAGAACTCCCATGGAAGTGGGATGAGGAGGTAGGCATCTGAACCTCTCTCTCTCCCCTGCCCTCCTGGCCAGGGCCTCTCTTTGGCCAAGTCTAATAGAAAGCCAGAGGGCAAAGTTCAGGTGATGCAGTCCACACAGGGAGCTTCCAGGCCTGGGGAGAAGCAGAGGATAGCTCCTTGGGAACAGAGACTAGCAGGTTCAATAAGGACGTGACAAGAATACTTACTGTCATGTTTCAGAAAGAGCATTCTATAAGCAAAGTGACATATTAGCCGGGAAGACGATGGCAAGCAGAACCACTAAGGCCACCGAAGCAATGTAAGCAAGAAATGGACTAAGAAGCAAGGAGAGCACGAAGATGATGATTCTGGTGAGTGGAGAGACAGTGCAGTTCTTTATCCAGCTAAGAAATACGGCAAAAAAAGAAAGCTTACATGGGAAACAAGGGATGAGTTTATTTCAGATAATCTGAGTTTTGGTTGGTAAAACTAAGTGAAGACGGACAGGCCTGCACACAGAAATGTGGAAAATGTGGATACATGTGTAGATGTAGATACGTATGTGTATTTGTATGTCATGCTAATATTAAATGATACATATGACAACTAACATGTAAGAGACAACACAACAAATGTAATATACGGGGTGAGAGGGACAACGATTTCCTGTAGTGCTTTAGAAAGAGCATTCCATAAATACGCAAGGTGAAATTTTACAGAGGTAAATGTGGTTAGCAGTCACAAGGAAATGATAAAGAAAAGGGGTTCCTTTCATTCTGTGACTACCACTGCATTTGAGTTTAAAATGAAGTGAGGTGAGAGTCATGAATTCTTTTGGAATCAGGCTAGAGTGTCACCATTACATCTGTAAAGTAGGAACCAGGAGCAGGGAACACTTGTGGGTACACAGAGAAATGGGCCTGAGGCCCAACCTCCGACTTCTCTAAGGAAAGTATGGGTAGCTGTTTCTCCAGAAAAACCTGAAGTAGAGCTAGCACAACCTGCTACGCCAAAGGGGTAAGGTTGGGTAACCGCTCGCCAGTCAACAATTACATGCATTTAGAGAATAATACTGAATAAGCCCAGATAGGTCTCTGTCCTGGCTAAACGCATCCTTAGTATTGATGATGGACTTGGGGAAAGGACACTGCAAAACCACCAGCTCACGTTCTCAGGTGGCTACACAAAGCAGGAGCATGGCACAAGTATCCAGCCTCTTCCACTGGGACACAGAAAATCATTTCATCCTTACTCTGCGCATTGTGATATATTTGTTCCTAAATATACTAACAAACATGCATCTTCTGAGAGTCTGTGATGTGAACGTAAGAATACAGGTTAGAGGCAGAACTCACAAAGTTATGACAAGGAAGCTCTAGAGGTTCTGTTAAGTATCAGATACTAAAAAGTTAAACAAAAAATTAAAATTTACTATCCTAGATTTGAAAGTAGATGAAAACTAGACTTCTAGTTAGTTGATTTATAAGATCGGGCACCAAAGCCAATGGAATGTTATGGTTAGTTCAGTTTTCAAGAATGCAGCCTGCACGGTCTATTTATACATAAAAACCAAAAGGAGTAAGCAGAGTCAATACGACCAAGGCGCAGCAGTGGTGCGCAGGCACATTCGTAGGTGCAGCTCAGAGGCAAATTATATACCTGGCCAGAGCAGCACAGGGAAAGGGCACTCGCCTGGGCATGAACATCGAAGGGCTGGCAGCTGGGGGTGGAAAAGATACTGCCAAAGACACCCGGATAGAACTGGAAACACCTGAGTTGTTCTGAGGGGGCATATGCACCCACTTGTGCACACATACAATACACACACACACACACACACACACTATTTAAAAGCCCTCAGCTGGTGAGCAGCAGAGGCGAGATTACAAGTGCTTTGGGACCCTCCCTGGTGGTACAATGGGTTAAAGCACAGCACAACGAAGCTATCAGCAGCCACAAGTTTGATATCTCCCCAACCCCCCCCCCCCCACCCGGGAGCTGACCCACATGGTGTTGCAGATCTCTCCAAGCACCCTCAGCAGTGTATTTCCATACATCTGCCTGTTCTGCTCCCCATTCTGTCTCTGGTGAATCCCCTGAACCCCTGGCCTGTAGCCCAGTTCTCATATGCATAGATAAATAAATCTTAAAAAAAAAAAGAAAGAAGCTTTTTTGAGCTTGCCTTCCTATAGTCTCTGAGCAGGACAGGGTAGTCAGACTTGAGAACTTTAAGCCGGGAGTGCTCAATGAAAGAGAAGAACCCCTCCCTACCTATTTGAAAGGGGAGCAAAGTTCACCTGGGCAGGTAAGGAGTGTGGGGGTCTAAGGGCCACACCCCCCAGCAGTCCCATTAATTTCCAACCATTTTTTTCTTCAGGGTTATTTCTAATACCACACAATGTGTGCTATGCTAGGGTTTTATTTTAACTGCAATGTACTATTTTTTTTTTTTGCCTGCTGCATTTTAATATTAGCTTTTAATATTGTATAACAGGAATCTATAAAGAAAAATGAAAAATACATAAAATACAAGATAAGCGTGCATCTTTTTTTTTTTTTTTTAAGATGGTGGTGTGAGATATCATTACACAATGTGTCACTTTGTATGCATACAGTCACAGGACAGAAGTGATAGAAAATCCAAAGATGATTATTCATTTTAACACATTAGTAGTTATAATCACAAAGACATCTTCAGATTCCTGATTAGCTTGGGTCCTAAGACACAGACTAAATTCATTTTAGTAGTAATCATGTGACTTCAGCAGTTTATGCTGGCAGATCCATTATGATGAACATTTATGTTCTGGAATACTGAAAATATGCTCTGAAAATAAGGAGCTTCTTATTTGAAGCTTGAAAGGGATTTTACAGATCTCAAGGAAGCTATTTTCACAATTCTACCAGCAATAAAGGTCAGATTCCCTTAGCATGACTGAAGAGAACACTTACAAGGGTTTTCCTGGGGTTGCACGCCAGGCTGTTCTCTGCATCCCCCTTCCCTAAGTGGGTTTCTACTTCAGGATGAATCAGTTCTCCTAAGTGGGTTCACTGATGCTCTTGTTAATGGCCTGAGAGAATATCTTCTTCATGGGGTCTGAGCTCTATAAGCAAATGCTACCTTCAAATGAGACTTTTATCCCCCACTGGACCCTGAGTGTTCCTTAAATCATTTGATACCTGTAGCTCTTAAGATGAAAGCCAAATGATGCCATACAAGTGTGGTTCAATGTTTGAATTCAGAAATAAAAGCTTCTCTGTTGTCCAAGCTACTTTATGCTTGCACTTAGATTAGTGTAATTGTCTGTTTGTCTCCCTGCATCCAGAATGGCTCCTACTCTCCTACAATCAGTTCTCCAGTCATGGATCGGTTAAAAACATCAACTAGAAGACATTACTAGGCATCTCTCCTCCCAAGCCCACCTGCCAGTGACCAGGCAGGTCCCACTTTTTTCTTTTTTCCTTTTCCTGATAACCTGTCTTTCTAAAGCATAAAGAATAAAACAGCAGCAAAACCCCACATTATTTAATGACACACACACAAAACCCATTTTATTTACCTGATCAAAACCCTTCAGTAGCTCTTCATCACACTCATAATAAAATCTGCACTTCTTTCCAAGAACCTAGGCACCTCTGATTTTTCTCCTCTGCTTTCTTGGCTACTCTAGCCACACCAACCCTCCATCCTCAAGATGCTTCCCTACCTAAACCTCCAGTTAGCCCTGTTTTCTCTTTCCCTGGCCTGCAACCAAATGTTGGCACAGCTTGCTTCTTCCCATTGATACATGAGCTTAGATGTCAGGAAGGTCTTCTGAGTCCAGTATCTAAAGTAGTATCCACCAGACACTTCCACTGGCTTTCTTCTGACTCTGTTTTACTTTTCCCTCACACCACATAGGGACTTACTAGTTCATATTCTATCTCTTCATGAAGTTAGGGACACTATATATTCCTTACTGTGTCCTCAGCATTTACATATTTGTCTTCTGTATGTGTTATATATAATTTGAGAGGATTCGTGGGTCACTCAGGCATGCACAGTCAGGCCAGTGAACACCTGGCTAATCTTTAGAGAGCCTAGCCAGTGCCAATCAGCACCATAAAAGGAGGTACACTCTGGCACATGCCTTGAAGCAACTTGATATAAAGGACACCCTCTCCAGCTTGTGCCATTGCTACCCCGCTGAGAGAACCCACAGGCTACACTGCCCCCTAATCCTACACCATCATCAATATACCCTTAACCTGCTTTGACATAGAGACCCTTTTCACCTCAATGCAGAGAAGAGACAGGAAGAAGAAGCAAGAGGCATATGCTTGGTTGGGTTTTTTTTTTTTTTTTTTCAATTCATCTATAGTATATCAATGTGTTCTCTGTAAGAGAGCTCCTGCTTATTAGAAGAAAATAATTGCTCTGAATTTCACTTCAGTTGTTAACCAGGTAGGGATTGGCTACCTACAAAAAACACTACTAAATGCAAGTTGCATTGTCTTCCCTAGATTTGCCTAGAGTGGCTTCTGTATTTGAGGTAAAGTTAGTATCAAATTTATATACACTACACAAGACATTATTTTGGACGACATGTCAGCATCCTGTTGCGACTGTGGCTGCCGTCCATTGTTAGTGCCTCTCTCCTGAGGTGAAAGGATTTCAAGCAACAACCCACACAAGAATTCCTCAATACTTAAGGAAATAGAAACTCAAGAGGCAAGAAGTCACCGAGGCTAACTCACAAGTGAGTTCATGTGACCCTGAAGCCATGGGCGAGTGGCTACACGAGGCATTAGATGGTGACTTGTGATGATCAAGATTGTTATTGAGGTTGGCCTACTGCCTCCCTATAGAGAACAGAACCAGATCTTTTTATCTCAGATTGCTAAAAAGATTATGTCTTTCCTGGGCCTCCTTTCCTTCAGCAATCTAGAGACACTTCATTGTTTTGTTTCTACTTCCTCTTCACCTGGAGGTGAGAAATAGAAAATGGAGCCAACTTGACTCCCAACTCTGTCACCACAAGCCCTGACACTGCTTTAATGCCTGCAGATGCCACTTATTCACACAGACAGTTTTGCTGGTCCATTCTGCTAGGATAGAATTTTCTGTGGTAGAAGTAAGGAAACTCACATATATCACATCAACAACAAAAATCCCTTAACAGTGTAATCCAGAAAACAAAAGGAAGTTTCTAAGGATTCATAAAAATGAAAGGATAGTAATTCAGTTGGTCAGAAGAGCACAGTGCCTGCCAGGGAGAGCTCTTTCTGCTATCTGAGGCGGAAATATTTTTCTACCCTGGAAGGTGCCCTATAGCCTACTTGTTTCACTTCCCAAACCTGAGTCAGATCAGGAGAAAAATCTGGAAGCATGGCTATTGCAGCTCTGTCTTATCTTCTAGGCACTTAGGAGTATGTTCCAACCAAGCCTGAATACCTCCCTTACTATGGCTGTCCCAACAATGCAGTGTCTGTGGGCCATGGAATCGGAGTCACCTTCCTTAACTTCTTTCTGTCTTGGCAGGCTCTCTTGATCCTTTCAATGAACGTGACTTGGAGTGGACAATACATTCCTAGACAGCTGTGCCCAAAATGCTAAGACAAAACACAGTATTTGTCTTTACATTCTCAAAGTAGCCTTTGATAGCCTAAACCTTTAGTTCATTTTAAGTACCACTCAATTTACAGTGATAATCTAAGTTTTGAACTACATCATATATGAAAAATGAACAGCTACATAACATCACTTTAATTAAAGTTATTAAAGTTACTTTTTTGCTAATACTTTTGTCATTTATTAGTTTTCTTAAGTGTATAGAGATATACTTAATAAGTTTAGTCATACATAAGGTAAAAATATTCAGTCAAAATTTCAGAAAAGAGAAGGTAGTACTTAAACCTACTTAAAGAGTATGCTAAAAATAAAAGGCACAAACACACCTAAAATCTTAGCAGATCTTAATTAAATAGTCTCTAACATAAAAGTATTTCAGCAATGTTCCTCATGAAAATTTAACCTTACATGGCCCTCACATGAAAAAAAAAAAAAAAGCTTCAGATAAAATAATAACAGAATAATAAAGTCACTCATTAAATTAGATTGCCATTTTACCCATTTGGCCTATAACTACCTTTCTTTTGTGACAACAAAAGGGAAAAAGGAAAAAACAAAAAGAGGAGAGGGTAAAAAAATCAAGAAAATTTAATTTCTGAGCGTTCAAGCAGAAGTATTTACCTTGGCATTATTTTGTAAATTCACATTTTCAAAGGAGTCAGCATATCGCACAATAGAATGGTAAATTTGCTATTTAACCCAGTTGTTCAACTTCACTTGAACATAAACCTTGGTTTTTATTTCTCCAATTACATACACATATAATGAAACTGATATCATCACATGCTAATAGCACTCATTCAAATCTGAATTTAACTTCAACTATTAATTTGTCAGCTTCTCCAGAGATGAATTTTAAAGCTGTGGTTTCAAATAGCTTACTGCTATAATTCAAGCCTGTGAATTCATTGCAGTGGCCTGAGTTTTTTCTCAAGATAACACATGATTTCTGGGGATCTTGCCTACGACTTGCAATTGTGGGTATCTTACTAATTTATGAATTTTCATCTTCAAATTTTGATGCACAATTGGAAAAAATATTATTAACAACCGAAACAACAACTGTGGGTGACTCGTAGTTTGTAATTTCTCTTCCTTTCAACCACACAACTACTTGCCCCTTCTATGCCAACTGTGTCTGACTTTCCTAGAAAAAGTGTGACTGGAAATAGAGAGCTGGTCTTAGTCTAGATGTTCTCTAGTCCATGGAAGGGTGAGTATTTGTTCAAAACAGTTTCAGACCTGAAAATTTCACCTAATCCAGTCTCTCCCATTATTCATAGGATCAATGTTTTAAAACACCAGCTCTTTGATCTCAGGGTTCCTCATAAAATCACTCTTGGAACAGCAAGGATTCTTAGACCTAGCCTAGTCAGAGTTCCAACATGGTGTCACTGGCACATCCAGGCTGCTTCATAATCCCAGTTGTGAAACCAATCTGGAATGGCAAATGTTGCTATAAGACTACAGAAGTTGCCATTTTTCTAAGTCTGGACTAGAATTTTATCAACTCAGTGGGCATTCTGCATGTGTCAGGCAAACAAAAATTCTAATAAGCATTTGTGTATATCTTTGATTAACAAAACAGAGATGTGAACTATTAACATTAAATGTGCTGACACAAAAACTTGAAAAATAATGGGGGCCATTGAAGCAAAAAAGGAAGATATTGGAAACCATTCAGGATCCGGACATCTTCATCTTACTGATGAGAAAGCTACAATCAATAAAAATTATGTGCCCATGTTCATAAGACCTCCTTAAACGGACCTGTGATTTATTTTTTCATCAGTATGTCCTGGTTACATTTCATACCACTAAGCCGACATTTCCTCATCTGTAAAATGGGCACATAAAGTGTTCCCCATAAATAGTGGCTTCCATATGGCCACTAAACATGTAACCAAGACAATGCAGTTAAGACACTTTTAACACTACCTTGCACATAGTAAACAACAAATGTCTGTTCTTTGAGATCTGGTACAGAACAGTTTCTGGAAGTTTCTGCAAGGTTCCCAACAGTTGGCAGCTGTGGCAGATTCTAATTACCTTCATCCTTAGACAAAAAACTCTGATTTTATTGGAAGGCTGCCTGAGACCCTGCTAAAAATCATCCTTGGTTGATTTGCAAGTCATCCCTTGCAGCCAGGGATGACTAATGAGAGGAAGAGAAGTTGGTGGATAGTGATTCCAGGAAATCCTTTAAAGATTGTTATAGGAAAGCAAGGAAAAGGAAATGTTAAGCTCATAACAGGGTAGTAGTGGTTGTGGAGTCAGAATCTGAGTGTCCCTTTCTGGGTCAGGGCCTGGAGAGCATTCCATGGAGAGTTCAGGACACTATGAGCAGTTAAGGTTTGTTGCCTATTATACCAGAATTGTGCACACATTAAACATCACAATACTCCTAAAAGGTGTATTGCCGAGCTTTTTGTTTCCAATAGCCCTACTCACCACCACAAGGTCACACACAGCTAATCTGAGGCAGAGGAATTTAGGCTTAATTCAAGGCAGAAGTTCTTCCCTCCTCTAGTCTTGATTCAAAGTGTTAGCTAGAAAAACAAGGTTTCAGTATAAAGTGATGTACTGCACAAAACCCCTGTGCTCAAAGTCGGGAGACTAGGGTCACCTATGTCAGTGCCTAGCAGGGTTACTACCTTGGACAAATTAAAAGATCTCTGAGTTTGGACTGCTTCCAGTCATAAAATCCTAAAATGTCCGGGTGTCAGGGACCAGGGAAATCCCAGGGAACTGGAAAGGGGATGGGGCCTGCCTCGGGTGCCGGCCGCGCCCGCGGGTGAGGCTGGCAACCGGCAGAGGCGCGCCCGCCGGGCTCCGGAGCCCCAGCGCCGGGGTAGGCAGGGCGCCCAGGGGGCGGCAGGGAGCGCGCGCCGCCGGGGGCCCGCGATTACCTGGGTGCAGCACCGCCGCCTCTTCCCCGTGCCCTGCGCGCGTGAGCAGTGTGGCCAGGGGTGGCAGCCAGAGCAGTGGCCACCAGGGCCCCGCGGGCGGCCGCATCCCGGGGCGCAGCCTGAGCCCTTGGGGGCCGCCAGAGTAGCGAAAATGGCGGGGGCCTAGGAAGTTGGGAGGGGGCCGCCAGGCCCGCGGGCCGGAAAGAGGAAGCCCCGCCTCTCGGGGCGAAAGTGGAGTCGGGCCTGGGCGGCCAAGACACGCGTGGCCCGGTCGCTCCCGCCCGGCCCTCTTTAGGCCCTCAGCCCTCGCGAGCCCGGCTGAGCCCAGAGGCGGTCGCGTCACGTCCCACCAGTGGCGGAGCCAGGGTGGGAAGAGTGCGGGTGTGCCTCCGAATTTTGCTAGGAAGATGACTGCCCTGTGGCCTGTGGAGTTTTAGAGCTCAGGTCTCAGCTCCCCTGAGCGCAACCCTGAGGGCAAGGCCCTTAGGCAGATATCCCTTTCATAAAGAAAAATTAATTTTGTTTTTTTTTTTTTGGTTTTTCATTTTTTCTTTTATTACAAGCAGTAACAAATAGGCGATTGCTATTTGCAAATGACTATATAGCTAAGCTCACACACACATTTAGTATAAAGAGGCTGTAAAACCTCCCTTTGCCAATATACCAGATATACCTTAAAATTAGCTTGTGTTAAAAAAAGAATTCAGAGATCAGATGGGTGGCTGCTAGAGGCAGGATTTGGGGTTGGGGACTGGGAGCATGGAAAAATGTGGAAGTGGTCAAAACTAGGAAAAAAAAAAGACACCACCTGAGGTGATGACTTAACTAAATGTAATCATTTTGCAATATATACATACATATCAAATCATGTACACCTAAAATTAACACAATGTTATATGTTAATTATCAAAAAATATACAGCTAAGAAAATGATCTATCTTGACTGGTCTATTGAAAATATAGAACATGGCAGCCTTACATAATATACTGTAATTCGTTTTTCTTTAAAAAAAAAAAAAAAGGGCCCAGAGCAGGTTAAAACACAGCACTGAGAAGTGAAGGCCACTTCAGCATGAGTTTGATCCCTGCCTTCCCCGGGGGGCTTACCCACATGGCGAGACAAACCTCTCCTGACCCTCCTGCTGCTCACCTCAGCAGTGTACTTCACCTCAGCAGTGTACTTCGTTAGTCAGCTGGTTCTGCTCCCAGCTTTCTCTCTGGTGAATCCTCTCACTGCCCCTGAACCTCTGGTCTGTTCCCCAGTTCTGTATGCACAAATAAATATCTTTAAAAAAGAATCAACCCTATTCAGGCCCTAGAAATCCATGAATGTGATTCAGTATTTCATTCGAACAATGTAAAAAGGTCATTTCCCCTTCTCTAGCTCTGGTCTTCTGCTAAGATACCACAGAGAACCCAAATGTGACAGAAATCATCCTCTCAAACTAGCTCAGCCTCATTTTCCCTAAAGGTCTGAGAAGGATGCATTAGACTCCCTGGCACTGGTGCACAATCATGTACGTCTTACTTTTAGAAAACGCAGAAATTTGCGTGTTAGTAACTCTTTAGGAGCATAATTACACAAATAAACTATTAATCGAACTCCCACCCTGCAGACTGTCTCCAGAGAAAGGGTAGAACCCCTGATCCAGGTATGAGGTATGAGCTAGCATCTAGCACAAGGACTTTTCCTAACCACATTCATTTTGATTTAGTTTCATTTAGATAACACTACGGAAAGTGGCTAAAAAAAAAAACAGGTAGACTCTTGAATGACAAATGTGTTTTCCTGCAGCTTGCAACTAGTAGAGGGGAAAAAAGCAGGCAACAGTGTAATAAAGTCATATTTAAAATGCTACTCATGTGATCTCTTCTTCATAAATATCTCTAAAGAAGTTAAATTGAAATACTGTATTCCTCTCCATAGCATAACAACAAATATTTTCCCAGAGATAATTAGAATATTAGAAGGCGACAGTTCTGTCACTATGGGACAATCATAAACTCCCACGGAACTTCCCCAAGCCTTTTTCATATGAAAAACTGAAACTCCTGGAGGAAACACTCCTACCAACAGGGCAAAGACCCACTGCTTCTAGGCAAGAGAGAAGCATGAGCTCTGCTCTTGGGGAAGCAGAAGGAGCACTCTGCCCAGTGTCCTGAACTGACTCAAAAGTAGAGCTTGATAACTGCCGAGGAAATACTCATTCAAGACACATCACAGATAGGAGGCAGAAGTTGGCAGTAATGGGACAGAAGAGCAGAAATACTGAGAAACTTCTTAGGTTCAGGTGCACAGACGATGCCTAAGAACAAGGCTAGAGCAGGAGTATGGAGAACCGTCTTGCCCCACAACAAAGGCCTAAATAGTATATAAACAAATAAATAATAAACAAAATACCAAATACATTAAATCAATAAATAGGTAGGTATCAAGTAGCAAAAAGGGCAAGCAAAAAAATGTAACACACGTGGAAATAGGACATCTCAAGAGAGTATGGCATCATAAAGTGAAAACGACTCTCTAGAATCCAAATACAAAAGATGGAAGATTACATCTCCCTACCAGATAATGAGTTTGGAACTGCGATAATAAATTAAAAGAGAGAGACTACCCAGAAAGGCAAGTCAAAGTGACAGGAGAACTTAAAGAAGTACAAGAGAACTCAGGAAATGTAACCAAAGACATACAACAAAATCTGGAAAAATAATCAATGAGCTAAGAAATAAAATGTACAAATAGAAGGCTGAAATTGAAGTTTTAAGTAGAAAATGGCAGAAATTCAGTAGAAAAAGTTCAAATGAGATCAAGGAAATAAAATAGATCAAGTGGAAGACTGAATCAGCGACACGAAGATAATAGTGAAATAACCACCCTGGTGGAAGAAAAGAGAGAAACAAGATATATATATATACATATATATATATATATATATTATACAAATCAAGAAACTGATACTATTAAGAAAGCAGCTTAAGACAATGGATATCCCAGAGGGGACGAGAGAGAGAGGGGAACCAAGAATCTATTCAAAGAAATTATTGAGATAAATGTCGCACAGGGAAGGAATAAAATATCCAGTCCTTGAATCAAAACTAGTGGGAAAACAAGTCATGTATGTTAGTATTCCCATCAAGCTCACATCAGGCTTCTCTTTCCCTTCTAAATATTTAGATTCTAGTATTGCTTCATTTTTACTTTACTGATTCTATTTATTTCATAATTTCTTCTTGGTATTGAGGAATTCTGGGTGAGATATTTGGTTTATGCTTACAATCCACCAAAATTTAAGCCTCATAATTAATTTTCTCCAAACAAAATCTGTTAATATCCCAAGCATGCAAAGTTTAGAGAACACTACACTTAATCTTAGTAAGGCCTGAATTCAAAATCAAGTTTCAGCTGTCCACAGAACTTTATAATTGTAGGCCAGAGTGTTAAAGGTATTAAAGAGGTGAGCAACACAACTGAGTTTTGGGGGATGACAATGACTATAATCAAAACTAAAACAAACAACATACACATCCACGAATACAGGAAGAGAAATACAGTAAGAAAGAATCCAGAACTAGGAGTGTGGTCAGATTTAGGAAGACTCTTAGATCCTTTGACTTGGAACATCATGGAACATTGTTTCCTTCTCATGAGAAACAGATGGGATTAACAAAAAGGTAAAGGCTAGTGTCCTTTAAGAATAGTAGACTGTAGTAGTTTGCTTCGTTCTAGGATATCAACTATACCAATTGATTAACCAAAAAAAAAAAAAAAACCCATATACACAGAACACCTGCTTATTCTTTTGTTCAAAGCTCCTGGGTTATTATACAGACTTGCTTGCTATGTTTCTTTTAGAAAAGAGACAATGCCCATCAGTGGTTCAATATGGTGCGACAGTCACCATTAAATTTTCCCAGGTGGTATAAAACAATTAACCTGAATATGAACACCAGCTCATAAATTTCTAGAGCAGAAGAGATGGTAGAAAAGGGGCAGAATTCACTGTCTCTGAAGCAGTTGCCCAGTTGGTGCCTATATCTCTTAGCTGTGGAAGGCTGGTTAACAGTCCATGCTCATTGCTAAAAAGAAAGAAAGAAAGAAAGAAACACTGCAGCTTGGGGAATCAGAATTTTGTAGAGAGGGAAGAAGTTGACATTCCTGTTAGTGTGGTAACAGCAAATAGTTGGCATTGTAAATGCAGATTCCCAGGACATTCTCCAGAGACTCAGTCGGTCCATCTGGGGTACAATCTAAAATATGCCTCTTTAATATGTACCCAGGTGATTAAAAAAATTAGACTAAATTCTGAGTTTATACTTTTCATGTTTTACATTTTGGGCAATTTTGTAGTTACAGCTAAATTATTGTGTGTGCATTTTATTAAAATTGTTATCATTTATATTTATTGGAAAAAGATGTTATACAGTAAATAACTTTCTTAATATTATTTTAGTGACCTGAATTCTCTATTTTTTCACTATTTCCACATGGTGTGAAAAAGAATACAATTAAATTTTCAGCCTCTGCATTTTTATTTCTAGAATTCTTGTTCTTCATAACTAATTAATTTTCCATAACTGTCATAGGGTTATAATCAGTCATTATGAATCAGAAGTAAAAATTAGTTCAAGTAAGAAATTATTTAGGAGCTTTCACTTGGTTTCTAGGTAGAAAGAACAGTTAATTAAATAAATTAGGAGAAAATAGGCAAAGTTCTACTACTTTGAGTTCTTTTATAACAAATGATTTATTATTATTCCATTACTTCAATCACACTTGCTGATGTCATAATGATTATACAAATTATATGGTATCACTTCTTCTAGAAAATTCACATTTTGGCCCTCCCTGGTGGCAGATCGGGTAAGGACACAGCACTGCGAGCTAGCCACAGCTGCTTCAGTGCGAGTTCAATCCCCATCCCCAGAGGTGACCACATGGCCCCGCAGACCTCTCCCAACCTACCCACTACTCTCCTCAGCAGTGTACTTCATCCATCAACCTGTTCTGCTTCCTGCTGTCTCCGGTGAAGTCTCTCACTGCCCTTGCACCTCTGGCCTGTACCCGAGTTCTGTATGCATAAATAAATCAATCTTTAAAAAGAAAGAAAGAAAATTCACATTTTTAGAATTTTGCACCGCCTGAGGGAAAA